TTGCCTCAGCCTGCCCATCACTGGGAGTACGGGCAGGAGTGGTTGGGGATGGAGGCACACCTAGCTTAAAGAAGACAATGCAAGTAAAGGGTTTGGCATGGCATCTGGCCAGAACATACACAAATGTAGCCAGGTGTGTTATTTTAAATTATCATAAATTAACTGGGCGCTGGGGCCACCTGCCTTTAATCCCAGCACTCGGGAGGCAGAGACAGGCAAATCTCTGAGTTCACAGCCACCCTGATCTACAGAGAAGTTCCAGCACAGGTTTCAAAGCTACAGGGAAATCCTGCTTCAAAAAACAAACAAACAACAAAAAAAAACACAAACAAACAAAAAACCATAAATTGAGCCCCTACTATAGTCAGGTCTACCTAGCTGAAAATGCATCAGAGTGACGGAAGCAGCAGAAGGGGCAGAAGGGTGGATGGGTGGGATCAGCTATCAGCTTATGCTTAGCCCCACACATCAGCAAGGGACCCAGACAGTTTTTACAGGAGAGAACGGCGGAAGTCACTGAAGCCTTTTTTGTTGTTAATAAAAATAATTCCCACACACGCGTGAGGCCGTGGTAGTGCACTAATCTTAGCCTTTGGGACTGAGAAGCGAGGAACAGAAGTTCAAGGTCAGCTTCAGCTACACAGAAAGCTCAACAGCAAGCCTGGGCTTCCTGAGATTCCGTTTCGAAACAACAAAGAAAACATCAAAATAAAAGGGCTGATGAAGTACTCTACTCAGCAGTAGAGTACTTGTGACCACGCACAGACCTCTGAGTTAAATCCTTAGCACCACAAAACAAAAAGAGGAAAGAAAACGACAAAGACAAAACTCAATTTTCAACACAGCCACAACGAGAGTGAGCAGCAGAATAATCGGCAGTTACAGAGATTGCCACTTTGCCTTCCCAGTCTCCAGTATGTCCTTTGTTATGGCCTCTTGATTGTAAATAAGTCCCTAAGGTCACTGCAGATCCAAGAGAATGTTCATGTTTGCCTCTAATCACTAGGCAACTGGGAGGCCTAAAAGAACACAATGGAGAGTTTAAACACAGCCTGAGCTATATGGCAAAACCTATAAAACAAAAAGGGGGGGAGGCAATTAGACCTTTTTCTAATTGGTTGGTGGGTAGAGTGGGAAAGAATTTGAGGTATTATCCAATTCACAATAAGATGCAAAATGTAGCCGGGAAGTGGTGGCACAGGCTTATAATCCCAGCAGGAGGCAGGCAGATCTCTGTGAGTTCGAGGTCAGCCTGGGCTACAGAGCAAGTTCAAAGACAGGCTCCAAAAGCTACAGAGAAACCCTGTCTCGAAAAACCAGAAGAAGGGGAAAAAAAGAAGCAGCAAAATGTAGAAGATTCAAGTCTTCATCCCAAGAGCAGCCAGAAGTATGGCCTAACTCTTGGGAAAATGCAACTTGATCCAGGGAAAGAAAACCAAAATCTTCCCTTTTTTTTCATTCTTTTATTTCTAAAAATGTTGCCTGTCTATCATCTAGCTAGCTAGCTAACTAACTATTTTTGTTGTTGTTGTTTTTTTGTTTTTCGAGACAGGGTTTCTCTGTGGTTTTGGAGCCTGTCCTGGAACTAGCTCTTGTAGACCAGGCTGGTCTCGAACTCACAGAGATCCGCCTGCCTCTGCCTCCCGAGTGCTGGGATTAAAGGCGTGCGCCACCACCGCCCGGTGCTAACTAACTATTATCTATTCATCTGTTTTTGTGGTGCCAGGGATTGGACCCAGGGCCTCATGACTGTTAGGCAAGTGCTCTACCACTGAGCTACATCCCCAGCCTCCTCCACATTTTAAATGTTGACTGCATGCTTCACGTCAGATGCTGAGCTAATGCATGGTTATCCAGCAGAAAGCCAAACCAGAATCCTAACGCTGCAGAGAAAACAGACAGACAGATGGGATGGGAGACCCATGGAGAGATAAAATAGGACCAGCCAATGCTAAAAATAGAGAGGGATTGCTTGGAAGAGAGACCTAGAAAGTCAGGGAGTCTTCCAAACAAGCTGGAATCTAGCAGAATCAGGCTCAGAGATCTGGGTAAATCAAGAGGAGGCAGAAAGTGCCAGGTATTCCAGCCATGGGGAAGAGCAAATCCAAAACCTTGATTCTGCATGACTATGGCAGGGAGGGAGGCCCATCTAGGGAAGAGGAATCGGAGCTATCACCCAAAATATCATGGGAGCTGAAAAGCAGCAGTTCAGATCTGACTGCTGTATGGCAGTTGCACCTGAGTCGAGGAGCACAGAAGTGATTTCGACTTTTCTAAAAGCTGAGAAGCTGGCCCGCTGTAGGAGTGGCTATAAGGAGCAGAATCAGATCGGGGTTGGTCAGAGGTGGTGGGTACTTCACAGAGGTAAACAAGTACCTTGAGGACAGCTGGTCCAAATGGCACCACTTTATACCACCTGCTCTGGCAAGCTTGGGTCTCAACAGCTCCTTCCCCACAAGCACAAGACAGTGCCGTTCCCTCAGCCCCCACTTAATCCCAGCCCCAAAGATGCCCAGAGCCCTGTGAGGCTTCCTGAAGGTGTATCAGGCTGCACCCCAAGGAAAAACTTGGAGTTTTAGGACACATTGCCTCATTAGCTCGGGGCAGCCCTCCTCAAGCCAGCTTCTGCTGACACCAGCACAGCTGGATGGCGACATCTAGAGGCAGCCTCGTGTCTCCCGTGGCCTCCTACACAAACTAGAGCACCCCCTACTGAAGTGTCCTATCCCTGTGTCCTCACAAGTCCCCCCCCCCCCCCTCATCTGCTCGAAGAGCAATCAGCTTGATCGGGGGAGGGGGAGGGAAATGGGAAGCGGTTGTGGGGACGAGGCAGAAATCCTTAATAAATAAATAAATTTAAAAAAAAAAAAAGTTTGGATGCCTGTGTCCTCACAAAAGAATGACCCAGCCACCAGGCAGGGCTCAAGGTACCATGTTTTCCGTGCTACAGCGCCGTTTGGGGGCAGCAAAATCCCAGAACTCCCAAATGAACTTTGGATCCTCTTTCCCTTCGTAAGCCCAGAGATAACGCTGGTTGAGGAAGACCACCAGCCCGCCCGCCCAGCCAAGCCCCTCCTCTACTTCACCATCTAGAGTTAGGCAATGTCCCCAGACCCACGTGAGAGTACGGTTCAGCCATTGCCTCTCCTGCAGCGGAACTTTCTGTAGCTGATTGACCATTCCTGCCCAGCCGCATCCATGTACTCCAATACTAGAGTCTTGTGGCCAAACTCCTCCCTTCGTTTTACTTCCACGCCACTGCTTGCTGTTTTCCTCCTATTCTCTGACCTCCTCTCTCGCTTCTCCTCTTCTCCTTGGTGTCCAGCCAGTCATCTTTTCTAACTCATTTCACAACCAGCTTCTGTATCCCTGGGGCAGAACAGGCATGGGTGTGGGGAGGGGGGAGTGGAGTGGGAAGCAGACTAACAAGGACTAAACACTAACAGCCTTGCACCATTACAGGGAAGCAGAGATGGGGCAGGACTCCTGGTTCTGACAACCCTGCACCATCACAGGGAAGCAGAGATGGGGCAGGACTCCTGGTTCTGACAACCCTGCACCATCACAGGGAAGCAGAGATGAGGCAGGACTTCTGGCTCTGTACAAACTAATTAAGAGAAGTCGTACCCATTCTGAGGTCGCTCTGAAGGATCTCCCCAGGCAGAGCTTCCGTAGCCTAGGCTACCCTTGTCCTTGACAGGCACCTGAGCGTGATCTTGAACTATTGGTCGCTGGGTGACCCACAACACCAAACCCAGATTACTCTGCACAATCCCTTTCTGTCCTCACAGGTGACCTGCGGTCCCTCCTTACCCACCTAGCCATATTTTAAAAGCTTTGTTTCTACATCTTCTCTTTCTTTTTTAAAAAATAATTTATTTTTATTTCATGTTAATTGTTTTTTGCCTGCAGGCATGTCTGAAGCCCTGGAACTGGAGTTACAGACAGGTATGAACTGTCATGTGGGTGCTGGGATTTGAACCTGGGTCCTCTGGAAGAGCAGTCAGTACTCTTAAACACAGAGCTATCTCTCCATGCCCTTCAACACATCTTTTTCAACACCTAGCTTAACTAGCCAGCCCTGACATACAAATGACTAAAGATTTGTATCTGCATTAGTTTTTTTTTTTAGATTTATTTTATAGATGAGTGTTTTGTCTGGAGATATATATATATATCATGTGTGTACAGTGCCCAAGGTCAGAAGAGGTCATAGGATCCCCTTGAACTGTAGTTATGATTATGAATCACCATGTGGGTACTGGGAACTGAACCTGGGTTCAGACGCCCAGTGCTTGCCAGTCATGGTGGTACACATGCGCTCTTACCTGCTGAGCCATCTCTCCAGCCCCTGTACCTGCATTTTTCATAAGGACCCACTGAACACTATCATTTTGAGTGCACCGAGGCACTGTACAATCTTGCAGTGGGGTCTTCAGTTGCACACAGCCTAGACTTCTCCCCAGAACTGGCTTTATACTACTAATAACACAAAAGCTGGTTTTACAAGAAGGTTCTCAGTAAACTATGAAATTCTAGCAAGTCTTGGCCCAGAGGACATGGGTCTTGGCCCAGTCTTTTATCTTCTTAGTTCTCCACTCACACAGCTAAGATAAATGAATCCTGAAGCTGAAGAGAGGCTCAGTGGAAGCGTGCTCCTGAAGCAGACCTGTTTGGTTCCTAACACCTAACACATATCGGGCTGCCCAGAGCGACCTGCCACTCCAACGCCAAGAGATCCAGTGCTTCTTTTTGCCTCCCTGAGCATCTGCACTCATGTGATACACCCACAGAGACAAATGTACAAACTTAGTTAAAATAAAATATTAAAAATAAAAAGTTTAAAAGGACTCCCTGTGTGCTTAGCAGCTACTAAAAGTTTTTGTGTGCCATGCTTGTCTTTGGAGCAGGGTCTTAAGAGAAAAATGCTGAAACAAAAGCTGGTCTCGCATCCTAAGGGCTAGAAAAATTAATGCTCAAACCACAAGAAACCACATTTCATTTTGCTTTTATTTAAAAGTTCTACTTAAATATCCTCAAAGGTTAGAAAATCGGGGTCAGATAGGAACACTGGTACACAGCTTAAAATACAAATGCCAGTAATTATTAAAGAATACAGTTAATGATTATTCCAAGAAAATGCATAGTAAGGAGCATTTTTCCAGAAGGCAAGTTAGACACCAGGAACCAAAGGAAGAAGGGACGGGACCTCAGATGGCTCAGAAAATAGTTATACAGCAGCCTAATCATGCCTCCCCCACCAGGCTACACACATGACCATTTACGACACAGGCTGCCACATCACTAGCCCTGACCTTCAAATCCAAAGGGAGCTTCGACACAACAACCACGCTCCAAAGACGTGAAACCGCTGGCTCCATTCCAGAATATTCTGGTTTCACCTGGGGCGGCACCGTTTCCCACTAGCTGTCCAACAAAACAGACCCAGTCTCCCTTTGAATATATTTTGTGGTTGCTCTACAGAATTATGCCCTTCTTTATTTGAAGGTCAAGGCATTTACATTTTACCTCTGTTTAAAAAAAAAACTGTCAACTTGATTGTGTCTCAGCTGAATTTTTTTGTCCCGTGTGCCTAAAGCTTTTTAGCTTTTAAGTCAAATATACTTTTGGGGAAAACGTCTATATATTACACCACCTCACAGTTTACATCATAATAAATTAGCTTTAATGTTATAAATAACATCTCCGAAAACTGAATCTTATTAACATGATCTAGCATACATTCAAAAGTATCAGCTTTTCTAGTTTCACTAACTTTGGAAATCAACAGCACTGTACTATTTACACATAAAACAAATATCTATGGAAATTACACCTTTCCACCAGCGTCTTACCCCAAATCACAAATGTCACTTTAAGCACCAAGACAAAGTTCCTTCAAAAGTTACATTTGCAATATTAAATCGTCAGTCTCATTATTTAAATTTTAAAAGTCTAAAAAATTCAAATCTCTATGAAAATAATAAGAGCTTTGGAAGAACTGACAAGGACCACGAATCTCCTTTCTCATATCTGCATCCCCCCCAAAAAAAGGTCATTTACTTCAAGGGGGGCCACGGCCAAAACCCAGGGAGACAGCCACATTGGTGTGTAACCAGAAGACAATGCCCACTGGAGCAGGCACAGAAAAGCTGAGTTCATAGAGGAAGAGAGAACGGTAGACAATAAACCAGCCTTTCTTCCCAATATTTCAGCTGGAAAACAAAGACATCTATTAGACAGTGAGAAAACACAGACACTCTTGGAGACACAAATGGGAGGCCTGTGTTCTATCAACTGCAGGATAAGTTACCTGAATCACAACCACTTATGACCCATGCCAGCCAGCCTCGAAAACAGGGCTCAGGCACTCAGTGCCAGTTAAGGCTCCCAGGCCACTCCTGGGTTTAGCGGGCATGAAAAACAAAGGACAAAGGAAAACAAAAACGTCAAATAGCGTCTTCCATTCCAACAGCAAACCTTCTAGCTAGAATAATTATGACTCACATTTGGAGCCACGTTTTATCTTTTTTTTCCGAAGCAAGTTCTCACCGTGTAGCCTAGGCTGGCCTTGGTGCATAATGGGATGCACTATTTTTTGTAGACAGGCTCTCACGAATCCACCTTGAACGTCTGATCTTCCTGCCTCTACCACTCAAGTGCTGGGTTTAAGGCATGAGGCATGTTCCAGCATACCCAGACTTCTCATTTTCTACTTTGAGGCGGCACCATTGGGGTTATTATTTAGGGTAGACTTACATGTGAGGGTAGAGGAAAAGGCCCTCAGAAGGTAAGCCACACCTGAGAACAGGGCAGAGCCACAGGGAGTAAACACCCAAGTGCGGGTACAGGCTCCTCAAGAGAGAACTGCCTACGTTTTATTTTTGAATAAAAAAAAAAACAAAAAAACAAACAACTAAGCGATCAGAAGTAATAGTAACAGTTTCAGAACAAAAGAACCCAAAAGTGTTCCTTTAAAAAAGAGAGAGAGTTCGAGACCAGCCTGGTCTACAAGAGCTAGTTCCAGGACAGGCTCCAAAACCACAGAGAAACCCTGTCTCGAAAAACCAAAAAAATAAAAAATAAAAAAAATAAAAGAGAGAGAGAAAAGAAGAAACTGTATCACTAAACAGGGAACACTAGAAAATGTACAAAGAACAATCCCCTTATTTTTCCATTGTATTTATTTTGTGAAGACCCATGCCACGGCACACACGTGGAGGTCACAGGGCAACTTTCAACTCCTTCCACCACGTGGGTCCCGGGGATGGAACTCTAGTTTCCAGGATTGGCAGCCTTTACCCACTGAGCTGTCTGCCAGCCCAGCCCCAACTCTTTACCCAATGTCTGTCTGCAAAGGCGAAGAGGCCCAGCCTGCCAGTGTGAGGACGGCATAGTGGGTGAGAGACACGGGGTCAGCTGAGGAGGTACCTACAGAAAAGTGCTCCCATGAGGTCCAGGAAATCAAAACTGCCAAAAAAAACCCTTGTGTTTCCATTTAGGGACACATTTCCTGCTGTTTAATGCCACAGCCACCCAAGAGAGGAAGACATTTATGCCCTAAATAGGACCCATGTGGGTTCGTTTTCAAGCAAACAGACCCTGCAGCCCCTATGACCAGACGCATCTCAATTTTCACCCAACTCTCATACTAAATATGGCCTCATTCCCGAAGCATAGCGATGGCAGTTCCTAACAGGCACGGGCAGGTGTTGAGCCTGAGAAGTCTCCCGCCTCCCTCCCAAGATGAAGAGAGAAAGCCTCAGCTCATGGCTGTTCTCCTAGGCCATTTTCACACCTCTAGACTCAGGCTGAAACCAAAAATCCACAAACCACTGAATAGACCCACCCTGCCTAAAATGTCCACAACTACCTGGTCACACCATGGCCCTTCCAATCCTGGGGAGCAGAAAGATGTACTAGTAACGGCAGGGTGAGGCAGGACAGCATAGCAGAGGTGGTGTTGTGTGCTTGAGGGATATACACAGGAAGAATTATGAATAACCCTGTGGCTAAGCCCGGGGTGGGGAGGAGGGGACGTTTTGCTAAGCAGGTCAGGAGTTGGGGATTAGACAAAAATGAACTCCCAGTTCGGCTCAAAGGTTTGGGGGTGGAACTCAACAGAAGGACCAAAGGCTGCTCAGAGACTTAGCCCCTCTCATCCTCAGCCGAAAGAAAAAAAACAAAAGAGTGGTCCTACACATGCTTACAGCAGTCCTGCCTGCAAGTCTGAGGATTCAGTTTTAAAATAAATTTAACCAGCGTTCAAATGCAAATGGCACAGATTTATCTTCACAGTCGTTACAGAAAATCTCTCTCTCTCTCTCTCTCTCTCTCTCTCTCTCTCTCTCTCACACACACACACACACACACACTAAAGTTAGAATATGACATAGAAAAGTGCCCTGAAGATTGCTTTGTAAACCTAAGCTTTTGTAATTTAAAAAGCTAAACAAAAACTACACTCTAGAAGTTGTGCAGAACAGCTCAGAAGGATCACATTTGTAAATTTTGCAACTGGGTCTCCAAAGATCCTGAAGTTCTTTATTCTTAGCATCATGATTTAAATTTATCCTTTAGAAGCACAGGATGACACAGTTTGATAGAGGACATGGGCTACACGAGCCTAAGCCGGTTTGACTCTATTCTGTCTGCTGCATAGAAGAGTTGACCAGTGTTCATAGACACAAAAATCATCACCAGTGCTTTTTCACTAGGCTGGATTTCTTTAGTTAGTCAATCACCCAGCAACCTATATCTGCCTATTCTTTAATAAGGTTTGAATGGCTCACTCAGGACTAAGTGGAAATGTTTTAAAGGGTATTTGTGTTAGCCTTGGTGACAGGGTGAGACTCTTAACCCTCCTTAGAGTATGTATCAATTGACTCTGAGTTAAAAAACACCACCATGACAGTGATATCATCCCGATACATCCTGGCTACATCTTCTGGTAATGTCAGCATGGCGGCCAGTCGCTCTGGCTCCATCTCCCCATACTCGTTGCTCCCGATGGCGTGTCTGATCAGATGCGTGGCTGCATTTTGGTCAGCTGCATGGAGTCCGCTGGCTTTCCGCTGCAGCAGCAGACTCTGCATGAGCCCCAGGTTGGCCGGTCTTTGGTCCAGGTCCGGCTTATGGCAAGCAACCTTGGACAGGTGGCCCACCACCAGCCTCACCACATCCTCATTGCCCAGCATGTCCCACAGACCATCTGACGCCAGCACGAGGAACTTATCTTGGGGCCTCAGCCTGTGGTATGTAACCTCAGGCTTGGCCGTCAGATAAGGCGGAGTGTAGTAGTGGGGCGGTGTGAACTGGTAGATGTTGAGGGCCTCAGTATCAAAGCCCCTCCCTAGCACACTACGCTGCAACTCTCTACTCCACTTGAGCTGGACATCCCCAAAGGCCCTGCAGGGAATGAGGACACCCAGCAGCCTATCATCTATGATGAGTGTCCTGTTCTCAGACTCAGGGTGTTCTCTCTTAAGCCGGGATAGCTCAGCCTCATTCCAAGCATTGTGGTCCCGGGTAAGAGGTAAACAGGACCACACGCCATTGTCTTCCTGGACACCAAGGATAGCCCGGCAGTCGCCAGCATTTGCTACATGTAGGTGAACTCCGTTGACATGGGCCATGCAAGCTGTTGCCCCAGAAAAAGCAACCTGGAGGGATAGGTTCTTTGTCACCTCATCTTCCAGGGGGGCCTGGATTTCTAGTGAGATGTCCGAATCCAGTCTCTGGAAGGAGTACATCAATGCTTCTTCGATGCTCAAACCCATTTCCATATGCAAGTCAAGAAGTTCCTGCCAATAGACTCGAAGGTGGTCCAGGTGTACGGAGGTGACATCCTTATAAATACTATCCCCAGGATGCTTGAGCCACTGGAGGATGGGCAGCAAAGGCTTCATGTTTTCCATTGCTTCCTCCATCTGCTCCAAGGTTTGGTGGGACATCAGGGACACTGCCATGTAGTAGAAGAGCCTCTCGCTCACTGCTTGGGCACATGCATGGCCACCATGGCCGTCAAAAATGCCAAACATCAGTCCGTTGGTTTGCATGCAGGAAGCTACACCCTGCCGGTCCTCCACTGGGGAATTGGCGGCCAGCTGGTTGCTCTCAAACCGTAACACTGAACTTGGAACTCCATTGTTGAAATCAAGAATCTTGTGAGATGACTCGCCAGCTCGAAGCATGTCGTTGACCTGTTCAGGGCTAAGCTGTAAGTGGAAATCCTCTTCCTCGGTTGATGTGTGTCTGTAGGCTTTCTGCAGAGCAAAGCTACCACGCGGAGTACTGGTCTTCACAGTCGATGATGCCGGAGAAGAAAGCCTCCATTTTGGTTGATTCCTATTTGCGGCACCCCTTGAGCAGAAGCGTCTACCCCCTTGTAAGATAGCAATTCGATTCCGTGCAGAATTGAAGATCCAATAGGACACGGTACTTGACATTCTGAAGCTATGCTGGCAAGTGGAGGCGGTTGGTTTTCACCCTGAAAAATTAAAGAGTTTATAAAAGCTTCAAAGTTCAAATATTTAAAATACTGTGAAAACTTCTTTTGCTAAGATTCTCTCTGATTTTATAGTCAATAAGGGCCTCCCAGCTGATTTGTGCCTCCTTTCCTCTCCTTTCTGAGCCCTTTCTCAGGCCGGAGGCTACTAGCTAGCTCCCTCATCCAGTCTCCACTGCAGCGTGTAAGTTTTGACTTAGGTATCTGCTGTCCCCAGTAATCTCTGTACTCCACAAATGCCAGACATGTAGCTGCTTACTGGTGGCTATCTTGAGTACAGCCCGGTCCCTGGTACACAGCAGGTCCTCAAATATTAGCTCAACTTGGCATTTTCAGAGGCCCAGGGACACTAGCTACTTAACAGACACAGTTTCACTAGTCTCGCTGGCACTTGCTAGGAGCATGGGAATACTGCCAGTCTCATATGCTTGGGTTTGTTTGATTGCTGTTTTGTGCGTCACGGAGATTGAGCACACGGCCTCTCCTGTGCTGATCGACCACTGAGCTATAGCCCTCTTTTAAACTTATTTTGAGCTGGGTGGTGGTGGGGCACACCTTTAATCCCAGCACTTGGGAGGCAGAGGCTGGCGGATCTCAGTGAGTTTGAGGCCAGCCTGATCTACAAGAGCTAGTTCCAGGACAGAGTCCAAAGACTCCAAAGCTACAGAGAAACCCTGTCTCGAAAAAAAAAAAAAAAAAAAAAAGCAAAAACAAAAAAAAAAACCGTAAACTTATTTTGAAACAGGGTTTCAATGAGTTGCAAGGTTGGCCTTGAACTTTAAACACTCCTGACTCAGAATTCAGAGTAGCTAAAATTACCAGGTGCTGTTCCCACAAGATTTGGAAGTGCTTTTGCTGTTGCCATTGTTTAGTTTCTGGACAGGGTCTCGCTTTGCCACCTGGCTGGCATGGAATTCACTATGTAGATCAGGCTATCCTCAAACTCAGAGATCTGCCTGTTCCAGCCTCTGGAGCACTGGGATTAAAGGTGTATGCCACCATGCCAAATTTTCACAAAGTTTGTAAAAGTGTAATAAAATATGACACTTTCCAAGCCAGGCATGGTACTACATGACTAGAATTCCAGAATTAGAGAGGCAAAAAGGCAGAGGCAAGCTGATCTCTGTGAGTTCAAGGTTAGCCTGATTGGCAGAGAAGATTGTCTCGCGCATCATTCCAGGCCAGCCAGGGTAACAAGGTGAGGCCATGCAGGGTGGGATGCACAACCGTAATCCCAGTACTTGGGAGGCACAGGCGAGTAGAGCTGGAGGCCAGGTACAGACACAGAAAAACCCTATCTCAAAACAGAACAAAAAAGAGATAGTCAAGCCAGGCGTGGTGGCACACGCCTTTAATCTCTCCCGTGGCAGAGGCGGGGGGGGGGGGGGGGGGGGGGGGGGATGTCTGTAAATTCAAGGCCAGCCTGGTCTAGAGTGAGTTCCAGAACAGCCAAGGCTACAGAGAAACCCTGTCTCAAAAAAAGAAAGAAAGAAAGAAAGAAAAGAAAAGAAAAGAAAAGTACAGTTTACCATCAGGGTACATTCTGTACAGGTTTTTATATCGTTCAGTCAACTACATTGAATCTGACGTCCGTGTGAAAGACAATGGTTTCACAATTCCTGGAGATTTGGAGTTTGTTTCCACTAACCTGGTACTTATTAAACACCAAATTGCATGGCCTTCGTAGCCGCCTTTTCCTTACTTCCAAAATCAGTAGGTCAAAGAGTACAGACGCACTGTTAAATTGATTTCCCAAAGCCAGTGAGGATCGTCCCTTACCCACCCGGCTGAACTTGGGGCAGATGAGGTCAGTCAGAGGCAGATGGCCTCGGACACCCCTTGACCCTGCAGAAAGGACAGGCAGCTGTGCGCAACGAAAACCGTTCGCAGCAGATGGGACAGAATTTAGTGTCCCTACAGAAACGACGTCTCTTGATTTCTTAGCTGGACGGCTAGGTTCTAGTTAAGAACTCCGGGCTCCAGCTTAGAGTTCTGACCCTCCGCTTTCTAAGCTGTAAAACAGGAATCTAGTTTGCAACGCCCACCTCACGGGTACTCCAGTACTAAGGAAGCTGATGCAGGGAACCGGCTAAGCAGCCGACTCCTCCACTAGCGCGCGGGCCCACGTGGCGCTTGCGCGAGAGTGGGGTGACCACGACCGGGGATCAGCTCGTCCCGCCCTCTCACCTCATCTCCCTCTCCGCCCCATCACCTGAGGCGCCCGCAGGCCAGGCTGGGGAAGATGTCCGCACACCTACTAGTCCCCTTCCTTACCTCGTACCCTCGCCCTCTTCTCACCAGCTTGCGCCGCCCGCACTCGGCGGATGCTCTCAGCTCAGTTGCTGCGCGCAGTTCCTCGGTGGCTGCGACCGGGTTTTACTTCCCTGGAGAGGCCCCTAGAAGAGAAACCAGCTTGTGAAGAAAGCTCCCTCCCGCCATTCCTGATTGGCTTATTTTCGGAGGCGGGCCCTTGATGGACAAAGATATTACCCAATAGATGAACAGGAAAGAGGAAGAAAGGGAGGCGGGGCCGGGAGGGGCCGCCAGCACTCTATCCCCTGGGGGTTAGCGTAGCATTTGAGCAGCCTGTGCGCCACCAGGCCGTCACGTGGGACTTATGCCCCCCAGCTTGCCTTCTTGCCACGCCCTGAGAGTCCAGAACCAAAAGACCTTAGTGTTCATTCTTGCATAGGTTACTCCCCAGTTTTGTTCCGTTCCCTCCAGGCCCCTCTGAGCGCCGCACCATTATTATCAACCTTTTGGACATCTGCCTTGAGAGCCTTAAGGACTCTAGTTCTACTTGCCCTGACCTTATTTTCCAAACCTGCTCTTCCTTTCAACCCAGTAAAGAGCCCGCTGGTGGGCTAGAGAGATGACTCAGAGGTTAAGAGCAGTGTCTGCTCTTTCAGAGGTCCTGAGTTCAATTCTCAGCAACTACACGGTGGCTCACATTCATCTATAGTGAGATCTAGCGCCCTCTCCTGGTGTAGAGATATGCAATTAGAACTCTGTCTACATAAAATAAATGAACCTTTAAAAAAAGATCCGCCTGGCACTAGGAGACCCAAGTCCAAACACTAGGGTTAATTTGATGCCCCCTTACTCATCACAAGCTTTAATCCTGTCATTCCCACCTCCTAAATACCTTCCCGCCCATCTGTTAGCCGATGCGAGATTCCAAGTCTCTCTATCTCCCTTTTGCCAAATTACACTTAACTCCTAGCCATCCTTCCTCACAGTTAGAATGGGCCTTCTAAAACTTCTTATCTAAACTGTTACTAACCACTACTCCGAATTCACAATTACATTGGCCTATTAAGTGACAAAGAATGGCAGCTGCCACTTACTTGTTGGTAGTTTGGGAAAGGCAGAGGACCAGAGCGACAGAAGTGCCCTCGATGCCTTCTGGTCCTAACAGCAGAAGAGGCCGATCTTCACCCTCCCCCCCCCCTCTTATAAATTGCTTTAATGCCGGGCGGTGGTGGCACACGCCTTTAATCCTTTAATCCCAGCGCTCAGGAGGCAGAGGCCTGAGGATCTCTGTGAGTTCAAGGCCAGCCTGATCTATGAGAGCTAGTTCCAGGACAGCCAGAGCTGTTACACAGAGAAACCCTGTCTCAAAAAACCAATCAATCAATATTGTTTTAATGGAGCATTCCTAAATATGTGAGCCAGTAGAATCCTTACTTAAAGTCAAAGTGAAATAAGAGACAGCCCAAAGATCTGAAAATGGGGTCTTCGGAAAGAAAGACACAGTGGCCTACCTGAGTGGGAAGGCTGAACCCAAAGTCATGCCTAAAGTAGAAGTGTTTCTGTCGTATTCTGTAAACGACATATACCTCAGCCTCAGGCCTTTCAAGAAGACAGTTGTTTGGTTGAGGTTTTGTTTTTTTGTTTTTGTTTTTCTTTAGTTTTTTGAGACAGAGTTTCTCTGTAGCTTTGGAGCCTGTCCTGGAATTAGCTCTTGTAGCCCAGGCTGGCCTCGAACTCACAGAGATCGGCCTGCCTCTGCCTCCCGAGTGCTGGGATTAATGGTGTGCGCCACCACCATCCGGGTGTTTTTTTTTTGTTTGTTTGTTTGTTTTTAAAGGCAGAATCTCACTATGTAGCCCTAGCTGGTCTAGAACCAGCTTTGTAGACTAGGCTGGCCTCCAATTTACAAAGATCCACCGGATTCTCTCTCCCAAGATTTGGATTAAAGGTGTGTGCTAAAGGCCTTGTTTTACTGTGGCTTGTGTTTTGGTTGGCTGGTACTACCGGATTTAGAGCCTCCCACATAGTAGGCAAACACTACCCACAGAGTCACTTCTTCACATCTGCCCTCCCGCCTCCTCTTTTAATGAGTCTTACCTTAAGTTACCCAGGCCAAACTTGGAGTTTAGCTTGGGGAGTAGTTGGAATGATAGACTTGCACCACCAAGTGGAGCCCTTTCTGGAGGTTCTAAATCAGAATTTGTACTTTGTCCCTTCAGGATACTGAGGAGTCTCTTTCAGGCCCATACTAAAAGTTCTGATTAAGGAAATGGGCATGAGAGAACAGAGAAGCATGCTTTGCTTCTTTTTTTGTGGGGGTTGTTTGTTTGTTTTGTTTGTTTTTTGGTTTATTTTTTTTCCAAGACAGGGTTTCTCTGTGTAACAGTCCTGTGTTGATTGCCTTGGTGGGCTACTCAGTCTAGGGTTAGTAACCCACCCGGCAGTTAGTTATCCCAGGGTCATGGAGAGGCACTACCTGGAAGATATGAGCTAGGAAAGCGGAAGGAGGCTAAGCGAGAGTTCTTGTCAAAGCCTCCGTTTATTAGAGACGGGGTACAACTTTTATAGTGTAAAGAGTTGGGGGATGGGCACAGGGGCCTGGGCTCTTGCTTCATGGTTCACATTGGTCACATGGTTCTCGTTGGTCACGTAGGCAGGAGGTTATCTTCGGTCAGGTCACTGTAGGCCAAGAAGTTACAAGTTGACACACCTAGATCTTTAGATAGTTTGGAATGTGGGATGGGTTCCGCTAACAGCTCTCCCTAAACAGCCAATTTGGGTGTGGGGTAGGCTCTGTCAATAGAACGATTCCTAACACAATTAGGGGTGTGGGGTTCTCTGCAGACTCCCCAGGGTGATGGTTCCTGTAATGATTTTAGGAGGAAATTGGCTCCTAACAGTCCTGGAAAACTAGCTAGCTCTTGTAGACCAGGCTGGCCTCGAACTCACAGAGATCCACCTGCCTCTGCCTCCCGAGTGCTGGGATTAAAGGTGTGTGCCACCAGCGCCCAGCTATGGCCTCTTTTCTCACTAATTTATTACATACATATGCATTTATCTGTATATACATATATATTCCTAAATATAATCTGCTCAGTCTGTAAAATGTTACCTGTATGTATGTTTTCAGGACTGACCTTTTAGCACTGGACAATCAGTTGGTGTGCTCTTCCCTGGGAAAAACCACCTCTCCCACTCCCAGCTTTCCTCAGCTGACAGAGGCTGAAAAGTCTAGTTGTTCAGCTCACAATATGATTGGTCCTGAGATGACTCTTAGAGACAGACAGATGCCCCCTACCACTTCCTGAGACTATTTTACATAGTTTTGCTAAGTCTGAAACCATGGAGCTTTTCTTTTTATTCTTCTTTCTTTTCTTTTTATAAAATAACGATTTGAGGCAGGGGAGCATGGCCAGAGGAGAGCATTGGATCCTCAGAGTTAGAACTCCACACCTGTGTGAGGAATGCGAGCTTGCTTGTCACGTGAGTACTGGAATCTAAACTATTCCTCGCGATTTCACGGCAAGTGCTCTTGACTGCTGAGATCCCCACCACACTGTGTGTGTGCATGCGTTTGTGTTATTAAAAACTGAATCTAGGCTTCCTACATGCTAAACAAATGTTCCACTACTGCGGCGCGGTGGTGGCGTACACCTTTAATCCCAGCAATCGTGGTGGAAGAGGCAGGCGGATCTCTGAGTTTGAGGCCAGCCTGGTCTACAAGAGCTAGTTCCAGGACAGGCTCCAACACTACAGCAAAACCCTGTCTTGAAAAAAGAAATGTTCCACTACTTTATTATTACCTTATTACCTCCGATGACAGTTTTTCTAAGTCACCAGAGCTACTTCCAAAGTGAAAAACACATTCACGAGGATAAAAATAAGGTCTAGTGATGGTTCCATGGGTGAAGATGCTTACCACCAGATCTGACATCCTGAGTTTAATCCCTGAGATCCACAGTGGGGAAGGAGAGAAGCAGTTCCCTTATGTTGTCCTCTAACCTCCACAAGCAAACTATGTCATGTGTGAGTGTGAGCCCCCTCTCACAAATAAATAAAACTTTAGAAGAGGCTGTAAGTTGTCCCTCATATTATATATGATCATCAGCTCAAGATCCCTATGTGGTCGGTCACCAAGGTTCCTTGACCTGTTCAAGTGTTGTAAGAAACAAAGGAAAAGGACATGCCCTCCTGTAAGGGAAAGTGCAGATCAACTGGAACATTTAGAAGAGAAAAACATTGAGCCTCACTTAGAATCAAATAAGAATTAAAATGAGCTATTGATTTAGGCCAATCAACCTAACAAATCTTAAGCCACAATGTAGAGAGCTGGGTGTGGTGAAGCACTCTGATCACAAGTTAGAGGCCAGTCTGGGCTACAGACCAAGACTTTGTGTCAAAAAAAAGCAGTCAAGGACGGTACCATTTGCTTTAGTCCCAGACTCTAAAGTCAGGGCCAATTGCCGCTCTGTAAATTCAAGTCCAGCCTCATCTACGTAGTGAATTCAGTTGTATTAGGACTACACAGTGAGACCCTCTTTCAAAATCAAACAAGCAACAAAGCAAAAACCGCAATGAAACAAAACAAAAACAAAAAAACCTAGCGACAGCTATTCGGTTAGCTTCTTACTGTCCGTTTTTACAACGTCCTGTTCCAAACTTCAGAAAGGCACCCAAAAGTTTCTAGTCTTTGTTTTAGACCTACAATCATCTCCACTGCTAAGACTAGCACAGTCTCACAAATATACCGCCCCCAACATAAGCAGTGGCCTCCCAGGAATCAGGCTGTCCTTAAACAATGAGGACTTCCAGCCACCTTACTGGCTTTGTAAGGAGACAATCAACTAGACAACCCCAGGACCAGGGTTGCTAACGTGTGCACACCTCTTGCCTCCTGCCTCAGGTCTTCATCCATCTCAAGCTCACGTCAGAACCTGCAGATGGGCTGAAATTCTGCTTGCTGTCTTTGCAGCATGGTTATGCGGATTAAACTCCTTCCTACCCTCTCACCATCAGATAGGTTTGCTATCTTTTGAGTGGGTTGTCAGACTGAACAAGTTGGAGCCTCTAGAGTGCCGTCTTCTGCATTCTAGTACTGTGTTACCCTTTCAATTTGTAGTAAAGAGACAAAGGGAACCTTGCAATGCTAATTCCCCT